AAAAAATCCCTGTACTCCTCCTCAGGGATTGTCTGGCCAAAAATGATAATTTTTTCGATAACTCAACCATTTCTTGAGGGATCATTCTCATCTTCGAACTCGACCGAGATATTCGTGAGATTGAACTGTGTGAAAAATTTCACCATGATCTGACTCTCCTTTCGAAAGTTATCGCGCCTACGGCCTGCCGGACACACTAATCGATTCTAGAATGTACTCACTTTTTTAGTACACAAAAGAAAACTGCAGATGATACATTATTAAATTGTTCATATTCACTGAATAAACGATGTGGAACCTGTATTATTGTCACATTCTATTGGTTTCGATTTTTACGTTGACTTTCATTACCCATCGGTTTCAATGCTATGCGAAACAAAGCATTCATGTCATTCTCTAGTTTACCTCAAAATTTTGAACTCTTGATCCAGAAATTTACTATGAAGAGAAATAAAGTTTATGCAATCTATACTATACTTCCGCTAGTTTAAGTTTATGAAAAAATCAATCTGCATGCGATTTGTTCAAGATACGATACTATTTTCTCTTATTTGTGCATATAGACGTTCAAACAGAAGCGAAACGACTACGTAAATAAAGTAATGATTAAAAACTATAACAACAAACTACTACTTTTCTCCTCAATGCAATGCATCAAACTTAATGGCTACAAGATTCAATCGCTGCATGAGCAGAAGTAGCATTTTCTCTTTTTTTTATTTGTTGGCAATGACAACCCAGTGTCAACCATTTTGAAGAAGTTAAACAATACTATTGCAAAAAAGTATTATGTGCGTTTATAAATTAAATATATTCAAGTTTCGTTTTGCAAGTAATCATGACGATGAGGAATGAAAATCCAACGCAAGCATTTATTGATCTTATTTCTGAAAAACAATGCAACAGCTAAACATTATTTAATATATTTCACGTATCTAGAATAATGGAGAACATTGACTATCATAGGCTACATAAATACTAATAAACAATAGGATCTTTAGTCATCTCTGCCAACGAAAAAAAGTCCTAGAATAAAAACTATACAGTTCTTTGTCGATGAGATTTTCATCACAGGAACTATGCGTTGTAACATTTTACTTGAATATAATCGAGAAAGTAATATTTAGAAATTGTAGAAATAGATTCTTTCGTGTAAACAAATCAACCGAATTGTGGCTTCAAAAACAATGCAGCCATAGTTAGAAGACTCAACAGACTTCTGAGCTATGACGTCAGTGGAATTCTATAGTATAGAAGTCTACAGTTGATAAACGTGTCGATGGATTTATTCTTTCACTTAATGTTCATCATTTCGTTCTAAAGAACTAAATATTGGTGTGAAAAAATATTTCACCAAAAACCGGTCAAATGATCATATTTAAAAGGATGAAAAAAATCCTCAAGACTTTATGCGTATATAAGAAAATGGCAGCAGCAAGCCAACAGTTTGTCATAATCGCACATTGAAACATACCTGAATCATTATAGTGTTTTACAATCTTTCAATTTTGAATCGAAAAGAAACGTTGTTCTCTCGTAGTAATCTGTACGGCAAAATAAATGTAAACATAATGAAACATCTTTATTTTTATTGATGTCAGTATATCATCCGCTATATCTCCATTATTTCAGCATCGATCATTATTTAAAGAAAAATAACTTCTAGTTACTCTATAAATCATCGACTAGTTAGTTTAAGAAAATGATACATAAAAAAAAGATTCCCTTAATATTTTCATATTGACCAAATGAATTCGCCAGTTAATTTGATTAGATGTAACCTACTGATAGGCTACTCCTCGAAGTAAAAATTTACCTTTAATAGCCTTTAGCAAATCTCTTAAGAATGAGTAGGTTTACGTGCATGTGTATATGCACGCGTTCAAACACAGCTGATAATAATTTTAATTTGGCTGCTATGAGTCATCTTCTCCCACATTTTTTTCATGAAAAATAAAATACTTGACAAAGGATAATCTCAGACACAAATCTTGATTCTTGAATATAAAGTTAAATTTGAATATAGTTTTATTATTCACTAGATATACATATTATCAATAATAGGTATCATTGCAAGTTTTCATCGATAGTCTTAGTAAAACTCATTTGATACATCTGAACAATGGCTGCATTGTAGAATATTTATTGCAGCGATACAAAGAGAAAGTAATGCGAATATTGTTTTCCACTCGATTAATAGAAATGATTGAAGTTGTTAGATATTAACGTGTTCATTTAATAGGTGAGGGAAATCAAATATCTCATACAATAAATTATTTGATTGTCTTAAATATTTACATAATGCTGACTTTTTGGCTTCGTGAATCATTTGTTTTGTTGCTGAAGGTCATTGCTCTTTTGAAGTAATTACATATTTTGTCTTTTTGACATGAATTCATTAGGGTGTGTGTGTTTAGTAAAAAAACACAAGGATGAGTGAGTTTTTAGGTCTTATATTTAGTTTCATAACTTGAACAAACAACGTGTAGGGAGAAATATTTGCATTGATTCTTGCTTTTTGTGTACTCAAAAAAAGTGAGTACACTCTAGATTCGGTCAGTGTGTCCAGCCGTTAACACGATAACCTTTGAAAGCCTCATCCAATTGTCATGAAATTTTGTACACATAATGATCTCATTAATATCTCAGTCAAGTTCGAAGATGAGAAGGATCCGTCAAGAAATGGCTGAGTTATCGAAAAACTTGTCATTTTTGATCAGACCATCCGTGAGGGGGAGTGCAGGGATTTTTAAAAAAAAATTTTTTTCTTAGAACTATTCACAACATATATAAATTGACTCAGTTTTTGCAGCACACATAACATTCGGATGCGAATCCGATGTTTCCTCATTTATTTAATCTAACATTGCGATGTAAGTTGTTGACTGAACAGATGCATAACGCTAATTGACCGATTATATCTTTTCAAAATCATAAGAGTTTTCAAAAAAAAACTACTCAAGAACACTATTTTTTAGCTTAATAACTCCGGAGTAGAGCTCGTTAAAGTTTTCGATACTTTATATGAATAAAGCAGTTTATCGTGAATTTAACTAAACGATATCACTGGGAATGCAACTCAATTATTACATAGGTTCGATAAATTATATTTACATCACGCAAAAGCTGCCGTTATAAAAATGATGTGGCCGGCACAACGCCGAAGAATTTTCTGAGTGTTGTTTTTTTGCTCTTAGAATATTTTTCACTATCGGAAAGGCATTACTAATCAAAATCTTTTACATACTATGCAAAAATTCAAGAAGACTTTCTCTGAAACAAATTTATTAAAGATATTATTCATTTATTGTTTGTTCATGTCTATGCTGTACTTATCAACTTCATCGAGTTCATTTTCTTTTTCATTCTGTTAGTTTTTTAACTTTTATGCTATAAATCATTGATTTGTTTCAATTGTATTATGTTATCTATTCGTACATTACACTTTTTATATAACATTTGGTTTATTTGATTTATATATGCATATGAATATAATAGATGTGTTATTTCTATGTAAGGATCATTTGAATTCACTTCATAAAAAAACTAACTCGTATACATATCGAACATACTAGTTAATCTAACAAGCAGATGGCAGTTTTATAGGCAATCGTAAATGCTTAAACAAACACACATTTTGATCAAAAGTTAATATCGGAGACATATAAAATATCTTATGACTCAACTCGTAATTTGATATGTTAGGGATAATCATAAAGTCAAACTCGTGATCTATCATTAACGAACAGAATAATATATACATACAAACACCTTAGTCCTACTATTGAAAATAATCGTTATGCATTACTCTTCAATATATGTATAACATCAATAAATGAAGCAAGAAGTGTTACCGAATAGGTGCACATTAAAAAAAGAAAAAAGACAAAATGGAAACAAAAGAACAATCTGTTGTTAGTTCACTGTTTCTTTTCTAGTCGCAACTCATTGTGAAGATTTCGCAACATCTGAAATAATAGATTTTTATGTATATGTATATATTTTTACGAGAGTGTCACAAATGCGACAAAAACGATTTGATAGACAATATAAAAACAACTGACTACTGTTCGTAATGATGCTTTTGACGAAGACTTGTTACCGCGTAACTGTGATATTAAACGACGTGATTTACTACCACCAGGATCTATATAAACATATTAAATAGTTTATCGCTAAAATAAAAATTTCAACAACGGAAAAAAACCTACACTGATTGACAATAACTTCTGCTGATGCTGTTAACATATCACCATATCGACATGTATAAATACCAGTATCATTTCGAGTTGCATGCTTTATCAATAGTGTCTCATGCAATATTCCATTAATAGATAAATAATTTGATATATATTCGGTTAAATTATCTAATAAATAATTATTACGCGTCCATTCAGCATGTAAATTTACTTCATTAGAATTCTTTATTGAATGTATACGACAAAGAAGATGAATTGGCTCATCAATAGTAACACAGATACGATCAGGAGAAATATCAATACATGTATTGGCTAAAGAAAAATAAATAATACGAACAAACTTCTTTCTTTTTTTTTCTTGATAAATGAAAAAGAGATTCATACAAAGAATTGTCAAATTGTAGCTTATTTGAATTTCGTTTCCCGATTTACATAAATAATAACCTTCATCATCTTTGCTTACGCCACTGATTTCTAAACGATGATCATTATTATGTAGACGAGGCATAAAACGTTGATCATCGATTAATTGGCGGTTGCCGAGTATTAATGGTTGAGGATAGGCATTCTCATACAAACGAAACCACATAACTGGTACCTTGAGATGAAAAATAAAAGGAACAAAAACAGTCTTTTTGATATGAACTTGTAGAAGAAAGTCATTCATACTGTCGATGAAGAGTTATTTTCATTTTCAATCACGCACGAAAGCCTAATTGTGTCACCACAATTTGCAGTATTTATTCGTGCATCAGGATAATCAACATGAAAATTTGCCAAATAATACATTGAATATGTGATGTTAATAATAAATGGTAATATCAAAAGAACTACGAGATATTTATTTTTCAATTAACAGAAAATTATACAAAAGAATCATGTTCGTACCTTTCAATAGTGACATTTTATTTGAACCATTGTTTGTAAAATATTATCTCGCCTTTAATTTGTTCTTGTGACTCACTATAGCCTGTGTGATGACATATCTGAAAAGAAAAAAATTCTGATTGACTGATTACTCATTTCTCTTTTTTTTTGTTCGTTCGGTTTTACTTTTTATTTCTTAAGTGTTGCGTATAAATATCACACAACTTATCAACTTGCGTTAGTTTTACGAAAGTACTCACAATTGCACGTAGCATGGCTGATAACAACAAATTATCGGATGGTAAACGGAAAATGCTTGATGACTATTACAAAAACAATCGAAGCAAACTCCCAAAATGTCCAACCTGTCAAACGAAGAGTGGTGTTATTCATACTGTTCGTGGTAAACCATCGCAGGAGTTATTATTGTATGCACAAGAAGGACACGTGAAATTATCTGGCTGTACGGAAAGTTATAATGGATGGTGTAAAAAATGCGAAAAGTTCATTTAAAACATCGTCGGAATATGCAAAAAATATAATAATAAGAATCATTTTTTTTTCTGTTCTAATAAAAAGGAATTGTCCACATAATTTTATTTAAATAAGTAACTCTTACTTACTAAGTTGTGCTCATCTTTCGATAGAAAAGATTTTTGCTTGTCTTCTTGTTACGAAACAGACAAATGAGATAAGAATCAGGCTTGTTTAAAACCTTGTAACATGTCAATGAATAAATACACTGCCGGAAAGCAACGCAATAGCTACTGCTATTACTTATTGCCGTACTAACATTAAGTTTGCTTGTCTTTTTTTTCTCTTTGAGCTACTCCATCCTACAATAAATTAACGCGACGGAAGTCTGTTTCTTTCTATCATTCTTATTTTGCCATCGCCCTCCTCCTCCTCCTACTACTCTTCGATGTGTTATCATGCGAAAAGTATCGACTCTCTCTCCTCGAACTGTCTGAGCACACATTGCATGCCAATAGCTCATTGACACTTAACGTCGTGGCCGTCGTCGTCGACCAGTGGCTACTATTTACATAGAATTACTTGAAACAATGCGTTTGAAAGTTATTTGCGGATGCTTGAATATATGATTCTTTTGCAATTGAGTCAAGTAAGAAAAAACGATTAGCATAAAATACTCGGTGGTTTTAATTCATCGAATAGTAGGATTGACTTCAAAGAAACTATTGTTGTTTTATGATAATTAATGGCTGGACGAAACAAATTGATTGTATTGTTTGTTTTGTTACAATACAAAATCCTAACAATTAACGATATTGAGAAATCGGATATAACTGTCTCTTTCTTCTGTATGATAAGACTAAATGGAGGGGAAAAGAATAAGTTAAGCGCACGCTGATGCTAATATTATCTATATAGAATTAATTTATAATCTCTCCCACCTCGCACATCAGGATATAGCGTATGTATCTACCGAGAAACTCGTGTGTTCGTCTAGTAACGCTTCAATGAGCATCAATTTTTCAACATTAGGCTTAGAACCGTAATTATTTCTCGGCATTTGTCTTTATTACTATTTGTCATGACTACTTAAGTATTCACAGTTTTCGAGGTATTCATTTGCTTACTGTCTTTCTCTCTTTTTTTTTCGGTTGATCAAGCTCAAAGGAATATAATCATACGATGTGGTTCATATAGTATGAACAGCTGGCTCCGAACTTCTGCAATATATCTGATGATGAATAAATTATAAATGAAACGGTACATTTTTCAATATAAAAACATGAGATCGTACGATTGATATCTCTCAAACAAATCTCTAGCATCAAGATATGCACAATGTTAGCTATGCGTGTCAAACTATCATTCACGATTAGTTGACGTTTACGCAGTTAAGATGCGTGATCAAAACAATTTATACATTGATCTAAAAGATAGAAGAAAGAGAGCGTGAGAAGCAGGAGGTCATCAATAAGTATTGATAAGCGTCAAAAAGAAATCCTATTGATGACGACGGCGACAATAGTTAGTCTAACGAGAATGATCGATCTTTTTCTTACTTGTGTCCTACAATCAATGTCATTAGCAGTACACATCAAAGACGCTAGTTTGATGTGTACAACTCCTCCTACAACGAAAATATCATGCGCATAGCCAAAACAGTAGGACCAAATAAGAGGCCTGTTCATCATTAAAACTGATCTACATGAAAATTGATTTAACAAACGGACTGGAGACATAACTGAAATACGCACAGCCTACATTAGACTAAATAAATCGAGGAGAGGAAAAAACACTTTCATGTCTGTGAAGATATCGGAATAAAAAAAACGACAGTAATACATATTACTATACACCTACGCATAATGATCTAATGCAAGAGTTTGTTTTCATGCTACGTCATTTAATAAAAACAAAAAGATTATGCAATTCATAGATGAATATTAAAAGAGTATTTTCCTAAATCACACTATTCATTTATTTAATGTGAGATCAACAAGACAGACATATTAAAATAATCTTAGAGGTAGATTATAATTTTAAAAAACAGAAGAAAAGAAACTTAAAATGCGAATTCATAAACATATTAATCAATCTGTTTTTATCTCACTTATTTCATCGCATCAACATAACCTTATATTAATAATTAGATCATCAAAAAAGAATTGCATCACATATTGTTCGCAGTCCATTAAGCAGATCAGTAGTCGTATTTTCCTACATACATATATACATATCAGCATGTCTGCTCTTCGTTATAGAACAGCCAGTCAGTCAAACTACAGCGTTGTCATTACTAAATGATGATCGATTATTTTCCTTATTCTAGACATCAATCGTTCTACTTGACTTGTGTATACGCATTTATTGTACCCTTTCATATTCTCTTGAATTGCTCCTCCTGTTGAGAATGAGTCCACCACCCGGTCCGTCTCATAAATAGTCGATTTCCCCTGCACGATTAGTACTCACCTCTTCAATGTGTTTTATACATAAGTGTCAGAGAAAAAGACGTTGAAAAATGTGTAGGCGAAGTGTTACTTGCCTATCTAGTACACTGGCCATCTGTCTTCACAGCATGCATATAAACAGGTAATTTATATCGATGTAAGTTAGTCGGTCGACAAAGCGGCGTTTTTTTTGTTCTCTCTCTCTCTCTCGTTTAGTCCTATTATCGCATCGATGTCAGTCGTTGTTGGTACCAGGAGAGGCCAATGGGCAATTGTTTTTCTTGGCTAGGTCAATTAATCAACTATAAAGTCTTTATGCTTCTTAACGGTTCCTAACTTTTTTTTGTTTGAAGTCTAAGTGTTGTACATATAAGCAGTAGTAGTAGTCGTCACATATTGGAACATACACGAAGAGAGTCATTAATCAACAATTACATTTCGTCTGTTTATAGTGCACTTATTTCAAGACAATACGTACCGAGTTCGATTCTCTCAACTGTTTTAAAAGGTCACCTATATAATGATGATGGTAATGATGATGTGATGTGTGTGTGTGTGTGACTGTACTAGTGAGTTGCGAATGAACACCGCATTGATTATGAGACGAAGAGAGCAGAAGAGATAGAGAGCGAGAGAAAAAAAAAGAGAATGTAGCTCAATCATGGTCGCATTGTTGTTAGAATAAAAAATAAAAAAGAATGAAGAATCATTATTTTTCATCAGAAGCTTCAAAAAATGACTCAATCAATGAAAAGAGGAAAAAACAACAAGAGCATTAACTTAAACAATGCATTGACCTTGTCTCATGAATCGTAAGCACATGCCAAAGCTCACTGATTCATAGACAGATGCAAGGATAGAATTATGGACATGGATTATAAACTATGCAACATTTGTCATGAAACACTGGAGAGCTCATTTCAAGGATGTAATGAAATCAAATATAACTTTGACTGATAGTATAAGCTATAGGAAAATCTTTTATGCATAATATTACTACAAAAATAAATGAATGAATGAATGAATATAAAGCTTAGACAAGCATTATATCTAGTAAATTAATGCTGTAGGCACAAACGCAATAGATCGGGAAATGAATGTTTTTTTCTTCTTCATTCTTTTGCACACCGTTATTAATTCATTCAAGAGCTTATAATATTATGTTTCTTTTGTCTTGCATTCAAATCTTTTTATTGAATTTTATATGCATATTTTCGAAGTCATGTTTGCAATGGCTATTATTGTAGATTACTAATAATAAAATTCTGATATAGATTATCCGTTTGTTTGTTTTTTTTTGTCAATTAAAAATAAATAAAAACAAGTTTATAATTTTCTTCAGGGAAATTTATCGTATAATTTTGAGAAAATAATCTTAAAATATAAAATAACTAATTTATCTTTATGATAGATTAATTTACACATCAGATAATGCCGTATTTTATTTTTTTAGTACTCTATTGAATATTGCATTTCGTAAATCATGAATATTATTTTGTGAGTTAAGCATACATATTCATATAATACATTACCTGTTTGATTATCAGTATTAAAGTCATGATAGTGTTTTACTTTATTTCCTTGTCAGTGATCATTCATTACTCTATATGAAAAGGCTTGAAGAAACATGCAATCTCATTGATTTTAAGGATTAATTCATATGTTGTCATCAAGTTCATCAAATTCATTCATGAATTATGAATGTCTTAGTGAACATTAGCTCTATGCAACTTTTGATAAGAATGAGATATAAATATTGTGTTGCTCTCGTTCATTCAAGAACAATGTCAAGAGATAGTTCTCATTTTTCATCTGAATAATGATCGATAATACGTCTTGAATTTCTATGATGAAAAACAAATGTCTGTCTTATTAAAAACACATTCGTAGTCATAGATTTTTCAATGGTAGAAGAAAAAAAATTCTAAAAAGGTTAATTCGAAGTATTATCTGCATTAGGTACTTAGTTGATTTGTTCGTAAAAAGAAAGCTGACATATCAGACATACGGAACTTTTAATATGAGACATCACGCAATTGAAATTCATCGTGTTTCCGATGAGAAGAGAATAGTTAAATGTCGACAAGGAACAAATTTTCTTTCGTAATTATAT